TCTTATTATTTCCCCTGACAAGAAAGAAGTCAAGGCTAGGAAAGGCTACTGGATTATTAGGTCTTATTGATGCTGAGGAATCGCTTAGCTAAAATCTGACAGACTAAGAGAAGCAGGGTTTAGGAAAGGGGCTGGGGTGTAAAAGGAAGTGTCCAAGGGATAAAAGGCCATGATGTAGGAATCTGAATAAGAAAAATATTTCAAATATTGGAATACAGGATCCCCAATTTGTCAGAATCGGCTGTTGTGTACTGCAGGGTCAAGGCAGGATGCAAATCTATTTTTATATTATTTATTATTAGATTTGCATCCTGCCTTACAAGGCCCAGTGGCAAGGTTCACAGTGCAAGCTAAGCAAATGTATTCATTATTTATTTGATTTTTATCCCAACTTTATTTTTGGTCAACTCAAGGCAGCATACATACCTAATGTTCCTATTATCCCCACAACAACAACCCTGTGAGATGTGTTGAACTGAGAGCGAGTGACTGGCCCAAAGTCAGCCTTGGCTTTCACACCTAAGGGAGGCCTAGAACTCACAATCTCCTGGTTTCTAGCCCAGCACCTTAGCCAGTTCACAAGCTGGCTCTCCAAATTTGCCTTCCACACTCGGATGCTCTGCAGAACATGCTGGCTGAGAATTTAGGAAGCTGCAGTCCCAACACATCTAAAGTAGAGCAGAGTAGTAGCTTGGGGAATGCTGTGTAATACAAAGAGTAACAGTAATAAAGAGAATCTGTAGATATTTCTTTCCACTTGCCTTGGGTGAAATTGAACATCCCTGGTCCATCAATGGTACCTGCAGCAAAGCTGTATCCCAAGGCTGCTTTACATGTTTTACCCTTTGGAAAAGCATTGCAAACAGTTAAGGTCTGCATTGTAAATGCTCCTACATTGTTATTGTCTGCCTATGGACACATTGCCTGTGGCAATGGAGGTACACTACCGTATGAGTAGAGTTGAGCTGAACAGTGATGTTACTCATGTCCACCCATTGGTGAGCTGAACTGATGGGACCATCAATCTCTTTGGAGGCCTTCATATATATATCCTGAAATACAAATGGGAACCAATCACTCTATTCTGCTGATACATGTGTACTGTATGTGGGCGTGTGTGTGTATTTCAAGTGTGGGTCTGTGTGTGAATATGTGGTAGGGAGGTCCTGGACCTCCTGAACTGCAACTCCCAGTGACCCTCATCATTAGACATGCGGGTGGAAGCTACTATGATTTGCAGTTCAACAATGGGCATCTGTTCCTCAGCAAGGCTAGCAGGTTGGGGAGACATGAAATACAGCACAAAGAGCCCCAGCCATGATCTTACCCTGACAGAGGGGTAAGAGTGTT